CATACACGTCTCAGCGACTCGAAACATGTCACTTGGCGTTTTATTAACTCAATGGGGTGCCGTCTGTGTGTGGGTGCGTGTGTGTGTGTGTGTGTTGGCAAATCTCAGCTGTCAATACAACCAGATATTAATCAGAAGTGTCTGGCCTGCATCCATTGTGGCATGTCGAGCGCCACCTCCTCCTTCTCCTCCTCGTCGTCCTCCTCCTCCTTCACCGCTTTAACCCCGTCCGCTTGTATGCAAAGCATTGTGTACTAAGCGCTTCAGCCAACGCACATGGATGGCATATTAAAAAGAGAGAGTGCCAAACACTCCAGAGGTAGACCCATCCATCCAGAGAAGTCTCCACTGAAATGAGATGAAGGCGAGGAAAAAGTGCTTTATTGACAGGTGTCGATTAAGAATTTAGCATTATTTGTTGTTGCTGTTGTTATTGTCGCTGCTTTTTGTTCGATGCATATAAAAAATTTATTACACGCACGAAAACACACAAACGTGTCGCATTTGCAGCCAACGCAAGGCAATGGGGAAGGGGCGTGGCTATTGGAGGGAAAAAGTTCGCTTATGTCGTGACATGTAAAATAAATCAAGCATGGAGCACAAGGAGTGCTCCATGTGCCCCAGCTGTGCGTAAGGAAAACGCAGCGAATTTGAGGTTAACATGTGTGCAGAACAGACTAGAGAATTGCTGTGGTTGCAAAGGGGTGAAGCTGAACGCAAAAAGACGGCGGACACAGAGTTGCTCTCTCTCTCTCTCTCTCTTTCTCGCGAGGCACTGATTGACATTGAAATTGAAAGCGGCTGAGGCTCGAGCTGTGATCTGCAAGAGTTCTTGACTTTGATGCAAGCAAAGTATTTATAGAGCATGAAAAGTATTTATAGCGAATATTATAGATATTATAGATATGTATATACAATATTTATACTTATAAATTTATTTAAGAAAGCATTTATAGAGCATGAAAAATATTTATAAACAATAATAGAAATAAACTATTGCAACATAGCAGCGCAATATGAATTAAAGAGATTTTACTTTCATTTAAAATTATTTATTTACTTTTTTACTTATTATATAGTTTAGAGATATAATTTTAATTTATAGAGTTAGGCACTGGCTAGAGGCATTCGGCAGAATTAATATTGTTTAAATCTAAGTTTGTGCACGAGTCGATATATATATGTATGTATTTATAGTTACATATATGTCCATATGTATACTGACAGCACTTCACGCATTAAAAACATTTGAAACTACATAATTTAACATGAATTAATAATGAATTTGTTTTAAATTTATTTAGAGCGTTAAAAGAGCCGTTGGCTTTTGGCCTTGCCAATGTAAATTTTAATTTAAAGAAATAATTTCAAAAACTAAAGAAATTTAGCTTAATTAATCTTATTGATAGATTGATAATTCTGTGCGATATGAATATAAATAAACACTTAGGAGTATATCCTTACAAGTTCTTAGTCTATCTACTATATTCCAGATCTATCACGAAATATCCAGGAATTGCTTAAAGCGCCTTAGTAAAGCTCTTGCCATTGTAGCATTAATATTTAATAATTCATGAAAACATATTTTCAACATGTTTATTAATACTTAAATGTGATACGATAAATATATATTAAAATGAGTTTTCGCTTGTAGTTGAAATAAATATGTGATTATTATGAAAGCACTCAGATATGCCCTTAACACCGCTTCTTATCTGTCATACTCTCCTTCTCTCTCGCTCTGCTTTGCCCCCTCACTCCTTCCTTTTCTCTGCCTCTGCACACAGTTTGCTGTCATGATTAGCCTTGAAATATATCTGGCACCTGCTGTCAGTTATTTTTCATATTTTACCCCATTTTTTTAACAGCATTTTCATATGCCAAAAGCGGGCCAAACAGAGGGGAATGGAAAAAAAACGACTTTTCGCTTTCTTCGCTTGACATTTACTCGGCTCGTTTGTTGGCTCATAGTATATATGCTATACGGCTACTGCTGTTAACAGCAGCAGCAGCAGCAACAGCAGCAGCAGCAGCAGCAGCAACAACAACAGCAGCAACTAGTTTAATCCAAAATGTAACCACATTTTCGTACTTTGTGCAACTTCATAAAAATGAAAATTTACAGCGTATATCCTTTATGCTCATATACTCATCTTCTCATCTGCTCATCTGCTTACCAAAAACTGCGATAAACGTTCAGCTCGCTTCCTTTTGCAGCAACTTTTCTGTCAGTGTGGGCGTGGCCAACTCACTACAAAAACTTTGTTGCATTCTTTGTGTGTGTGCGTGTGTGTGCAGAAGGGTTGGCCGTGAGAGCTCTCGCAAGGGTTTTGCCTGAATGTTGATTAGGTGTTGAGCGATTACGTGAAATGTTTACGTACCTGCTGCAGCTGCAGGTGATGAGAGCGTACTTATTTAAGGCACTAGCTGCAGCTACAGCTGCTTATAAGATATAAAGTGAGGAGCGCAACTTTAAGCCAAGTCACAGAGAAACTTTTCAAGTCTATATGGCTGCTCATCTGTGTGGGGCACGCTTAGATCTATAATACAATTTTCGACTCATTAAGAAATTAATTGTAAAAAAATGTTTAGAAAAAAGAGAAGAAGCAGCAACAACAACTGTTGCTCGCTGTAGCAAAAAAGAAAAAAATGAAGAAGCAGGAAAATAATTACATGGAACAAAATAAGGTGGAAATTACATTTTCCAAATGTGGAAGAAAAGCAGTCAAGCAGCTCTCAGAAAAGAGCGGATAGGGAGAGAGCGAAACATAGAGAGAGAAAGAGATAGGGAGTGAGAGGGGAAAACTCTCAACTACACGTATTACATGGAAGTTTAAATATCTTTTGTTAATACGTGTTGCCGTCTGCAGATATTTATACGAAAGAGGGGGAGATTATACAGAGACAAACATGTCTTGTCTAAGGAAGAGTAGGAGGTCGAGGAGATGCTCGGAAGTAGTTGAATGCATTTAACGAAAAGTTGGAGAGCAGTAATGTAGAGAGTGGGATATCATATAAGCACATCTCATGGCCCGCTGCAAGTCGAGAAGAGCAGAGCAGCTATGCGACTGAAAGTGAAGCCGGCTGCACCTTTATTCAAGGGACGGCGTCAGGCTTTGGCTCTGCTTCACCAGAAGGGGGTAGGTGGTAGGGGGTAGGAAAGCTGATACGCTCGGTAGCATGGGGTTGGACTTACGACACATGTTATGTCTCCGATGCTGTCTGCTCGCGGGTTTCGCCTGCATAAAGTCATTAAGTGGGGGAAATGAAAATAAATTTGCACTTGGTAAATAAATCTTTTTGATTTCGCTGTTGCTGTAGCTGCTGATGCTGCTTCTTCGCTTTCCCTTTCCCGTTCCCGTTTTATTTATTTATTTATTTTGTTTGTCAGGGAAAAACAGTGGAAAATTCTTTAATTAAATTTGTATGAACAGCGCGAAGTCAAGTCAGATAACGTACGCGGCAACAGCAAAAGTGAAAAATGTCACCCGTAAAGTGTGTCAGCACTGGATTCTTTTTATTTTATTTTATTTTATTATTTTTGTTTGTTTTTTTTTCTCACTTTTTTTTCATATGAAATTATATATACTGCTTTTTTATTTCAATAAATAATTGTTTTCGTTTGGCATTTACTTACAAGGTGAAATTTTATTATAAAAAGAAATATATATATATATGCTTGCCATTTATTCATAAAAAACAGTATTAATTTAAAATAATAATAATAAAATAATATAATAATAATAATAATAATAATAGATAAATAAAATTGTATTTAATTCTGCAATAGTTTAAACATAATTTTTGTCTTTCTTACGAATTGAATTTTTAAATTCTCGGGCAGGCCTATGCTTGTAATACGATATTCGCAAAAACCTTGCCTACATTTTTGTTGCCTCAACTGCCGTCAGCCACCAGAATTCCAGAACAATAAAAATAAAATCATATAAATAAAAACCAGAAGGAAATGCAAAAGAATGTAAAACAAAATATGCTGTGGCTCCAACATTAATGTCGCGTCCAACTTTGTATGCTTCAGGTGGCAATGAATTTCTGGTGCGTGTCTTGATTGGAAATTGGAGCAGAAAAATTGTTTTACAAATTCACACGCACACACACACACACACACCCGCATATGGGTATGCAGCACAGTATATATACATATATTTATACACATATACAGCTATACATGTATGTTTACATTTATTGTTGTACTTTTTGTAGGTTAAAGTGAACGAATGCATTTGCAGAGTCGGTGGCATTCCTTGCATAATGACATTGACACATTACACAGTCGAGTCTGGAAGCTTGACATAGTTGTAGGCGCCATTTGGAGCTGCAGAAAAATAACATGCACTATATAGTAAACATGCATATATACAGTTTGTCTTAAATATTTGGTGTGTCTGTATGAATGTGTGTGTGTGTGTGGCACATCATTAGGTTAGTTGGCAAAAGACTTGGCTGGCAGACGCTCAAGCATTTTGGCTCAAGTGGGCGAAGACTCTGTGTTGCCTCATCAAGTCATTCCCATCTCTGTCTCGTTCTCTTTCTGGGTCACTATATCTAAGACTGTCTGCTTCTCTTTCGCTCTGCAGCTGCTTAAGTGCAGCAAGTCACTTGGTTTTTGGACACTATTTTACATTTGGCCTTTGACACGCTCTGAGCCGAATCCATTTTAATGAATGCCAAGTGCAGCTGGTCTTAGCTGCATTTTAGTTTGTTAATTATTGAATTTCATGAATTTGATTTATTTATGAGCATTTATATTGTACATTATTATTATACTGTGCTGTTCATTCGCAAAGGTGACCTTTGAAAGTGAATCATAAAATAAGCGAATGTATTTGATTTATTTTTTTCATTCATTTTTGTAATGTTTGCGACTTTAAAATTTGATTTAAGTAATACAAATTGAATAATTATTTCTCTTTTATATTGACTAATAAGACTAATATTTGCTTTAGTTTAATTTATTCTTAAGGCCTTTAAATTGAGGTTTAAAATGAGTTATATTATATTAGAATATAAAATGTTACCAGACATATTGTTACAGTAATAGAATTTTCTTTTAGAGCATTTCCCTTGTCTCTCTTGTGCTTCTTGTCTTTTTTGTCTTTCTTGCCGCCGCCTTCGTTGCCGTCGCGCTCTTCCCGACAATGACAATGTTTGTCGCAGAGTTTGCAATGCACTAATGCAGCCTTCGGGTTTTTTGATTTTGCACCGATTGCATGGCACGCACCGTCTACGCTGCCAGAGCATATAGTATTCAATACAGAGCCTGAGGTGAAGTAATGTAGGCAATAGAGTAAGTTATGTAATATATGTAATGAAATGCGCAGTTACCAGATATTTTGTGGCCGGGACTCAGACATCTATCCATTGTTGGGTTAGAGGAATCACCAGATTTCTTTCGTACTACCTTGCCCTCGTCCTCCTCATGAACGTACTTTAGAAAATGAACGGGAACTTTGCAATTCGCCAACTCATCGCACTTGAAACACCAGGCGTCGCCATTGACATCTGTAAGAAAAAATGCAAGGCTTAAATGTATGAAAATTATAAGCGGAATTCGTAGTCCGTTCACCGTCGATTTTGACATAATACCTAATAAGAAAACTGTTTGAAAACTCCAGAACAGTTTGCTTAGATTTTTACAATTATTCAACTTCAATTTGTAATTTAATATCTTGCTTTCGATTTAAGTTAAATTTGTTGCTTAAAGTCTTCATTTATATAAGACATTTTAGTGTATATTTTTGGGTTTCATTTCAACTAGACACTTGAAAACCTCTCAAGGGCAACAAATTGACAGTGTTATTAAAATATAATTGAAAATATTCATAATATTTCCGCTATGCTTCGAGTGTACTTTTCACTTTGTGAATACTCTAAATTACTACCACTCGCACTCGCACTCATACACGCACCCAAGGCAATAGAATTGTATGCCATAATTCTTTGGCCTGGCCGCAACTGTTAATTTATGGCCAAAAGGAAACACACCAAATAAGTTTCATTTGAGATTGCCGAAACCGCAAAATGTTCGCCTTCGCATATTGAAAATAAATGCGTAGAAATGTAAACTTGAGAGCTTAGCAAAAGTTAAATTTACTTATCATTAAACAATTGTGGCATTCGCATTACGAATCGAGACTCACTAAGCGAATCTTTACGCTTATTTACTTTCATTTCCAAGTATTTCAATAGGACAAACAACAACGGCATCAGCAACAGCAACAACAGCAACAACAGCAACAACAACAACAACAACAATGTGCAAACATTTGTGCTTCTAGGACCCGCACATAATTCATGCTTGAGGCAATTTGAATGTCCAATAATCAGAAATGCTTCAAGTTTTTGTGCTCGCACTTTGCCCTGACTTTTATTGACTTGGCTTGGCCGCTTTTTGATTTGATTATAAATTAAATAAGTGCCATGGCAGCGCACCCAACTGAACCACAAAAGTTTCCCGCAACCCGACTGCCTGGCTGGCTGGCTGCTGTCTGCCGGGCCCAACCTTCCGCCTCATTTGATTAAAGTTTTCAGAGTGTTTCACTCTCACTCTCTCTTACTCGCTCTCTATCTGCCTCTCTCTCTCTCACTCCCGCTGGAATTCAAATTCTAGTCCTTTCTCTTTGACTGTGGCACAATCAATAATTTATTGAGCTTGCCCCTGATCAGCGTAGCAAAACTTTCATTTATTTCCAGTCTCAATTTTTGGTCAGCACGCACACGTGGCGTATGCGTAATCTGTGTATAATCAATGCATTGAACTCGGTCTCGCTATCGCTGTCTCTTTTGCTCTTTTACTCAGTCACCATAAATATGCCATTCACATGTTTTTGCATATTCTTTATACATGGCTCTATATTTTTATACCCTGTCTGCAACAGATAGTAGGAGGTGTGGCAGGCCCTATGGTTCATATTCTTGTGCCAACTAATGTGTTTAGATGGTTTAGTTGTTTTGTTTTTATACAAATAAAAACAGTATCAGGTGTAGACAATACTAAGACTAAGGCTGAAATGAATCAAATGGAAATTAATAGCTAAAGCCACTATATTTGTATGAATTTCATTACATAAGATTATACAAAATTGCTAGGCAGATTGTTACAATCATAGCGTCTTCTTCTTTAAGAGCATTTCCTCTCTGCCCACCCTCTGCACAACCACAGTAATCATGGCAAATTCCGCAATGGAAAACCATACCTCTTAGTTCAGTTGTTTTCTCACCGATTGAATGACACAAGCCATCGTTGCTACCAGAGCATACAGTTTTCGTTAATGTACCTAAAATACCATACAGAGTAGCCATAGAATATATACGAAACAGATGCGCACTTACCCGAAATCTTGTAACCGGGTTTCAGGCATCGGTCCAAGTTCTCGTTGGCAGCGTCACCTTCTACTTTCTTTACTACCTTGCCAACATCGCGACTGTCATGGTATCTAACAAAGTTTGGGTCAACTTTGCAGCGTTTCAAATTGTAGCAAGGAAAACAAAAGGCTTCTCCATTTACATCTGTCAAATGTAGTTTGTAGTCATTCGAGATCATAGAACTATACGCATTATTGGCTCTGTTTCTTCACTATGGTAACTTACTGGGAACCAAATAAACAAGCACAAAACTTAAATATATACCAGTTAATACTCCACCCATCATTTAATTTTTAAAAAATATCCAATAAAAAAAAGTCTATTTAACTCAACAATTTGTAATATTAATTCTTCTAAAAATTTGGAAACAGCTTGCTTAGACTTATCAAGATTTCGATTTTATCATCGCTCTGCTAACTGCGCAGTAAGCAGCGACTGCGCTGCATAATGGCCAATATTATGTGAATTTATTTTTTATTCTTAATGGAGTCTGTTACATGCGTTTTCACAAAACCCTTATACCCTGATTTCCCATTTTCAATGGGTTCATGGTAAAATTATATCCCTTCTTAATATGTTAATAAATTCTTAGGGCTAAAAACCCTAACAACTTTTGTTAAAGCTAAAATGTATCAAAAATATAAATTATTAAATAAAATTTCATTTATATGAAATGCGTATTATATAAATATTTCCTGCTCTGTTTTAGACATATAGAATATGTATATCAAAATTCGAATTCTTTGTATCTGTTCTTGTTTAGTGAATAATTAATCCTTTGATCTACGTGTCGTGGCAAAAATTACATTTTTATTCGCCCTTTTATTTTTTTATATATTTTTTTAAGTTTATTTGTATCAGCATTGATACTGCTTAGCGTGGCTTAACAAGGTTTAAGATTCTTAGTTTAATATGGATTTAATTTGCCTGCACTGTGTGGCAGTGTGTGTGAGAGAGAGAGGGAGAGCCAAAGGGAGTGCGGGAGAGCGAGTTCGTCTGGCTTCAACCCACTCGAGATGCTGTGCGTCCAGCCATTTGTCTGCCTGCCAGTCCTTGTGGCTCATCTCGGCAAGACGCTTATTAGTTGCCTTTGAGTATTAGTGTCAGCTCCAATGCTGTGGCATTTATGTCCACACAGCTGAAGCCATAAGCAATGCTCGCACTACGCTTCTCCCCCCTGCCCCCTGTCCCAAACGCCCTCTCGAATTTACGCCTGTCAGCTGCAGCGCTTGTCCCTTGCATATTTTATGAAAATTGCATGCTAGAGAGGCCGAAAAATTGCAATGAACAAAATCAGTCAACACTCACAGACCAGACACACACACACACACATACACACGCATCGTCAGTTTGTTGATAAATTGAATTTGATGAAGTTTTGGGTGTTCGCTTCTCTGTTTTGTTATGCGAATTTTTAAAGTCGAACACGTTTCGTTGGCTGGTTCGCAATGCTCAATCCCATTTATTATGATTTGACATGCATAATACAGTTTTGGACCTGTTTATAAATATTGAAATAGACGTCAATAACATTGTCCCACACAATCGGGTTAGCCCAGCCCGACCGAGTGCGCTGTGCGTGTCGCACCCAAAAATCTGTTAATAATGATGCCAAACATACATATGTATGCATGTATGTGTGTGGATGCTGTAGAAGAGGAAGCAGCACGAAGCGAAAAGCTGACGCATTTGTGCGTGTGAAATATGTTTTGTCAACTTATTAAATATGCTCAATCTTTCGTCGTTTCTTTCTTTCCGCCTCTTCCCTTTTGTTGATGGGCTCGAGGACGTGCTGTGGCATTTGAATGTCAATGCGAATGGCACGAAGAAAAGGTTTAGCTCGTGATGCGGTGACTGAGTTGATGGTTAAATTATAAGGTGTGGCTGCCAGCACAGCGCAAACTGAAAATAAAGTGTGCAAATTTAGTGTCGGGTGAACTGCAATAAATTACAGCGTAATCATGTTGTTTATAAAGCAATTTCTATTTGCATTTCCGGACTTGAACAACAACTGGAATTAGTAGTCAATTTTAAAAACTTTTACCTCTGCACTATTAACGATCCCAATAAAAACGTAAAACAGTGTTTAATCGAATTGACTGTCTTACTGATTGCCATACATACGTTCAGGTGCATCGCGCGCATTGCGTATACGCACAGCTATCCGCTTAATGTATTCACGATGCGTTCGACTGTAAATATTTGGCAATTAACAATGCAGTGCTTAATTGGCATTAATTTAAATATAATTTGCTTAACATGCATTCCTCAATGCCAAATTAACACACACACACACACACGCACATACTCTCCAAATCGTATTGCGTATACGCTCCGTGGCGCACACTCGAATGACATTTACCTGACCAGGTTTTTGGGGTCAATCGCTCGGCCAGAGTGTGCTTATTATCAATTGCCGAGCGAGACGAAATGACACGAAGCAGCGAAGTCGCATAAAAGATATGCTGTTGAAATGTACTTGGAGTACGGGCTTAGGGGAGGGTCTGTGCTCTCTGTCCTCTGAGCACTTATTTTTATGTGGCTGAAAACAAAAAGATATTTTATCTATGCCAGGCGACAGCAGCCGCCTGTCAACCCACTGGCTGTCTCTCTATTTGCCCCAATGTATTTACAGGTAAGAGAGCTAACAGGTAAAAAGCATTGAAATGTGCCCGTGTTTTGTTTGCGAACAATCTGCTTTTTATTTTGAGCGTCTCGTTGGCGCCAACGAACCAAGCAGCGCTCGCTTTTAATGGACTAGACAACAACAATAACAACAGCAGCAACAACTGCGTTGGCGACAACAAACAGGCGCCATTCGCTACCCCTTTGCCATTCCTGTTGGCTTTCAGTTGCCCCCAGCTCAGTTAGCCCCAGTCCCACTGCGATGCGTGTGTCTAGCATTTTTGACTACATGCTCACTCGATGTGCTGCAGCTATCAGCTGTCTGGCTGCGAGTGTGAGTGGGTGTGTGTGTCTGTGTGCTTGTATAATTATGCCATTAAATTTGTGCATCGAGTTCATAACTTTTATTAGCTGTGACATCTAGAAAATCTTTCATAACAGCAATTTGAAATTTATGCGTATATTTTGAAAAACAATTTTCATATTAGACAAGCCAAAGTTAAACAATTTGAGAACTATTTTAATTGGATGTTAATCAAATGAACAAATAAACTTGAATTGTTTATTAAGCAATCAAATGTTAGTATACACTAAACCCATTGAAAATAAGGAT